TGTAACGGGTAAGAGCCTCCAGCCAGCTTTCTTCTTATTGTCTGGCATTTAAAGAAGTCTGCACAATCTTTTTTACTCCAAGCTGGCAGGGTATGGGCAGGCTCCAATGCACAGATCTTGGGCATGAGCTAATTTGTTGTGGCTTCAGATAGAGATGGCAGGAGCTTGGCTGGTCTGCACGCAGCAGGGTGAGAGAGGCTGTGCAAACGCCTGTGCAGGGAGCTGCAGGAGGGCAGGGTTGGAGGGGACGGGACCGGCAGCCTGTGGTGCAGGCAGAGCCAGGGAAAGCTGTCGCTCCGCCTTGGATATACATCTGAAAGCATTTGAGGACTTCACTGTTGTTTGCATTTTCTCTGGTCACAGATATGGATGCTGCTCGCTGTGCCCCTGAAGGCAGGAGGGGTAGGGATAAGGGGTTTAAATGTACGCCGGCGCCGTTGGGTTTGTTAACGAGGAATCTCCTCTCCTGTCAGGCACGGTGTTGGCGTCAGCTGGCTGGGGCCGAGAGCGGGCTCCGGCCGTGTGCGTCTGTGCCCGTCGTGATTTGCCCATCGCCTTCACCAGGAGCCCGGCCCTGGCTAATGGGTGCGACTGGTCCCGCGCTGCCTCCCAGCCAGCCGCCGGCAGCACTCTCCTTCTCCTCTTCCTCCTCCTTCTCCTGCAGCTCGGAGGGACAGATGACACCCCCCCCCCTCCCTTCCCGTCCCTTTCGGGACCATTGCCTCTTGAGGTCCTCCACAGAAATGTTTCGTCTCAGTGTGTGGCTTTGGCTTGGCATGCCTTGGGCGAAATAAAAAAAAAAAAAAAACAACCCACATTTTCAACTGGTTCCTCGTCCCAGCAAGGGGAGAGGAGAGGATCGTGTGTGCGTGTGCATGGCCGGGGCTGGCTCTGCAGAGCCCTGCTGTTCGTTCCCAGCCGGCCTCGATAGGCAGGGCTCCAGCCCCGCTCCTGGTCGTGCTCCCGACAGTCCTGTTTCTCCACCCTCCGGGAGGGTGCTCAGGGATGCCATGGGGGCCCTAACCCTCCCGCTGACCAGCCCCTGCCATGGGGGGAGGCAGTGGCCAGGAGGCCCCCCAGCCCAGGCTGGAGCGGGAAGGGCCGCAGGGCTGCCCTTCTCCCTGCCGCTCAGGCCGACCGGGCTGGGTGTCGTGTCCGCTTTTCCAGCTTTCTGCCTGCAGGCAAAGTCGTGTGTGCAACGCTCCGGGGGCTGGGACCACCGTGGCCTTCCCTGCCGGCACCTGTTTTTTTTCCGCCCCGAACCGGTGGGAGCTGCCATGTCCAGGCTGGCCGAGTCCCAGGGCAGACTCCCCCTCTCCATCGCCGCTTTCCCAGGGGAGAGGCGTGGGACCCGCACCTTGCCGGCTGCGGGGGGGGGTGCTGCCGGCCAGGCAGAGGGGCTGGCGTGCATGGGGACGGCGACGCGCGCAGCCGGGGCTGGCTGCTGGCCAGAGGTAAACAGCTCCTTTGTTTTCCCGGAGAAGTGCGAGGGATTATATTCTGTTGAGCTCACTCGGTCTCCCACTTCTTATTGTGCGGCAGACATGTAATCATCTAGTTCAAGGAGCTTAGTTAATTGTTTACAAAATAGGAAGGGGGATGATTGTCTCCTGGTGGGAAGGTGAGGTTGAGAGGGGTGTCGTGGAAAGGGGGTGGCTTGTCCAGCTCCCAGATTAGGAGGGATTGAAGCCAAATTGTAATTCTGCGGCCCTAGATGTGCGACTTCAAAATGCTCCGCCGTCGCTCCCACGAGCTGGGGATAGATAGCTCCTCCAACCCGGGAATTTGTACCTCCCCTCTGACTCCTATTAAACGTGCTTAAAAATGAAACGAAGACTGCAAGCGTTGTTGGTAATTGTTGTGCAAATGTAATACTCCCTCCAAGCTGTTGAACAGGCCAGTGCTCTGTTTACATGGAGAGGCAGCCAGCTTTCCAAGTGTAATGAGTCAGCTAGATGAACAGAAGGGGTGCAGAATTAATCTGGCATCCGTCTGGCCTTTTCTCAGTTAAACAGGTTTTCGAAGCTCCACGTGAATAGGTACCTACCCCGGTTACAAACAGCCACAGAGACATCGGGAGTGGGCAGAATTTTTTCGAGAATAAATTGGCAGCGTGCAGGCCATGAAACAGTTTTAGCGAGGCACTGGAAACGACGTGGTTTTAATTTTTGGCTGTTCGTGGTCGGGAGCGGAGCGTGCCCTGCTCCCAGCCGTGCTGGTCCCTGTGCTCATGACCGGCATAAGTGAAGCTGCTTGGTTTTAGTATCCTTTGCAAAGTGCAAATAAATTTCCATTGTCCAGCACGTCATCTGAATTTCCACTTCTTAGATTTGCAGTGAATATTGAAGTGAATCCGTTCAGGTGGCTGACCCTGTATCCTCCGCACTGAGCCAGTGCTCCTGCGGGCTCCTGCCTCCTCCCAGGCGCATGCTCAGGCACTTGCTCGTTTCTCCTTTATCTGCACCTTAATGAGTACCAGTAGGTGAAACCGAGGGGAAAAAATTCTTAAACTTTACAAATTGGTTAACGATGGCTGACAGAGTGAGGTTCTTGAGGCTGTAAATGGCTGAAGCTGCTTCTAGAGGAAGCAACTGCAGCGCCTGAGACGCCGTCAATGTGCAACATCGAGGGGATACCTCAGGCTCCGGAGCAGTGCCTTCGGTGGAGCATCACCAGTGCCAGGAGAGCCACGCTGCTGTGAAACGTGATGTCTTGTTAGCCGGTGAACCCCTGGCTGGGTGTGTGGGAGCACTGAGGCCAGGGCTGCTCGCTCTTGGCTTCAGGTTTTGCGAGCTCCAGCCTCTCTCTGCCGGCGCCGAGCGCGCCCGAGGACAGCTGAGCTGCCTTTTTAAGGTGCTGTTTTCAGTCAGCCCTTGTGGTGCTCGAACTTTGGCACTTGTGCTGGGCTGCAGGCCCTTCAAATGATGAAGAGCAGAAATTTGGAGACGCAGATTTCTGCAGTCGTTCCCTCACTCTGACAGAAGATTTTCTTTTTCCATTTTCTCTTTATGGACATGCTGGGTTGGTATACTGAATTTTCTGCACTTCCCCCTGGTTTTGCTTCCCAGCTGCAGCGATGAGGAGGGCTGATCAGCCTGCTCCTGTCTTTTCCAGTTCGGATCCTTTCCTGCTCTCGTATCCAAAAGAAAAGGGCTGGGGGCTCCTGGCTGGAGGTCCCAAAACTCAGCACGGCAGCTTGTCCCAGCGTCGAGCAGGGGGACACGAAGAGGCCTCAGTCCCCAAAGCCTCCGTTCCTAAACGTGGGTAACTGTCCTCCTGTAGCCCAGGCGAAGGAGTTAGGGTGGAGGATTAGCCGCCTTGGAAAGCGCAGTCTCCTGCTGAAAATGCCAGCACCGGGATATTTTAGCGCTGTCTGTGTCCGGTGCTTTGGTCTGGGAATTTGTGCTGCTGCAGGGCTGGGATGGGGCCTCTGAATCACTTTTTTAAAAAAAAACAACCAAAAAACCCACAAACCAACCCAAAGGGCCCTAAAGCCTCTGAAGCATAAATGAAACATTTAAATTATGAAGGGATTTCCAGGGAACTTCTAACATACAAGGCTGATGAAAGCACTGCGCTAGTGTTCCTCCAGCCTTTAACCCCCTGTCCTGCCCCGGCCGCTGCAGGTGTGGGGCCCCAGCACCCAGCGAGATGGTGCTGGGCTCTCCTGGTGCTGCCCGGGACGCGGTTCAAGGTCCACGCTGCTTCGTCCCCCAGCCCCGAGCGGGAGGGAGGGTTTGGCTCCTCTCCTCTCCTCTGTTTTCTTTCTCTCTCCCCACCCACAGAATTCCCATCTTGTGATGGAGCGCTGCATGACTTTGTTCCTGGACAATTTCCTGCAATTGTAGCTCTGCAGAAACCCAGCCGCTATTATAAGACGTTAATGGGTGCAATGTCTAGTGCTGTCAGGTGGCAATTAGCTGGGGAAAGAGTTTTCAAATGGTGCCTGTTTATGCCGTTTCAGCGTAAGTACAACGAGGCCTTTGCTGTAGGGATTGATGTGGGTCACTTCTCGGAGATATACTGTTGCACGGCTGCTTTTTAGCCTCTGGTCTCGGGAGAGGAGATATTTTTGTTCACCTAAAAAGGCCTTGCCTGCCTTGGCTTCAGCCGGTATTTCTGATCTCTGTTGCAGCTCATGCTTTGCTGTATTTCAGATGTCAGTTGTCTTTTCAGCCCTGTAACCAGGCAACACATGGCAGGAGCAGGGAGCACTTTGTTATTCTCCAAATTGTCTTACCTAGGCCAAGGCGTGACAGCAGCACCGGTGCCGGGGTGAGGAGCCTGTGGCAAACCACTCCGGGAATGTTGTGCCCCCTTGGCGGTTTCTGGTCTCATCTCATAATGGCGACATGTTCAAAAAGTGCGTTTTACAAGTAGGTTTTGTAATTTAGTGGTGTGCATGTTGGTCCTGCGAGCGCCTGGGAATTCAGCGTGACAGACCGGGGGAGCAGGGCTGTCCCTGCTCCAGACACGTACCTGGAGGGTGCATCCCCATGTCCCTACACTCTGGACGGAGCTGTAGCTGCAAGAAGCTTTATGTAGGCTTGGAGTGATGCTGTAGATGAAGAACAGGAGGGATATTGCTCTCTGTTTGGGCATGATCCATTTTAAGCTCTCCCTTACACGTGAAGCAAGTCGTGTTTGCAGCTGCAGGTCCCAGCTTGCTTCCCATGCGGAAGGTGGCAGAAGCCAGCGGTGGTTTTGCCCGCTCTGGTCTGCAGTGCACGGCATTTGGAGGTGCTGTGCCATCCTGGTGTTGCCGTTGAAGAGTTTGGTGGGGGTTTATCCCCATGGGAAGTGTCTTGCCTTCCCCCCCCCCCCCCCAGGGGACAAACACCCTTGA